TTTTCGCTACGTCTACACATGTGAACTTCACAGCTGATTTGCTAAGCCTACGCTTAGTTGATACTCTAAGTTACAATTAGTGCGCTCCTTGTGTGACATCCACATTTAGTCGGAAGTTGACAATAGTGAAAGATTCCAAAGGTGTTGCTACGGATATGATATAAAAACAAAAATAGTCAAGTATGAATACATAAACAAATCGCCTTTCAAAAAAACATGAACGAGAGATTCAGCTGGGTTCAGTGTGATTTTCCAGTCAAAAACATATTGGTATGCAAATAATGGTAGTGCGCTAAATACGTTATTTTTGTTTGAAACACGGAATACACACATCAGGAGGCTATCTGACTGCATGACCTGATTTGATTACCTGTCACTTTAATGGCACATCTAAAGGTTGGTCTGGAAACAGACAAACAAAAGCCTCCGAAATTCTGCCTGGTTTCTTTACCATGAAGACCAACGTTTCCAAACGCTAGCAAATATACCTAGGATAATGCTGATATGGAGAATTATTCTGTCAGTAGCACACAACCCAATTCCATCATCTGTTCCTACATCGCTGAGATATTTGTGGTGAAGCTCAGAACCTACTTGTTAAGCTGATCATCAGGCGTTTGTGACAAAATGTTTCTGTCTGTCGAGAATTTTCGGGTGTGAACCCCACCTGGTGATTCGTCAGTTTTCAAACCCGAATATTTTTGATAACGTTAAAGCAGCTGCAAAGTCTTCTTCAACCTTCACTTATATGACAAAATACCATTTGAAATATTTCCCAATTTGTTCATATTCAAAACAGTGAAAAGTTTTTTTTTAAAAAAATTAGATGTCTGCGCCTGGTTAGCCCACACAATTGCTCTGCGCGGAGTTAAGCACAGTGTTGCGTAAGGCTCTTGCCGACCAACATGAATAAAGCGGGATCAGCAAGAAGAGAATCGTCACAAAGTGTCTTTCTAAACATGCTGCCACAAAATGAGCACCGACAAATTTGTTTTCTTTATGAACAAAACGCTATGTCGCAAATCAATCACTCTGAGTTTCATTGTGGTATCACACTTTTCTTATGATAACATCAAGGTAGCTCAGAAACCCTCTATATTCCACCACCTGTGTAACGGCGGATAATACTGATGAGGTTTCTCGTGACTCCAACTTGGTCTAATGGAGGGTGAAAGTTATCACGGAATTTGCGGACTCGCTTTACATCATTCGTTTACATTTGACTGATAGTCAATGAATATCCGGGAAATTTCAAAAAAAACGCGCTCAAGAAGAAAGCGTATATTCCGTTTTTAGAAACAATGTGCGTATGAGAGTTTTGCTTTCCTGACCGATAGTCTGCAACGGTTCAGATGATGTTTTTTCCATAAAGAACTCCGCAGTGCAGGGCTTTCCTCTTCTCACTTGTAGTTTTCACTACAAAGTCGTCCGTAAGATGCGCCATATACGAATCTCGCTTGCTTATATTTGCCAAATGAAAAGTAATTGAGCTCTCCCGTTCGCCATTTTCAATAATCTACTTGGGAAAAAACCTAAAGGCTGCTAAATTTCCACTATTTTCTGGACAATACAACAACAAAAACATGCGCCTGGTTGGCTTATGTACCCAAAACTTGAAGTGAAAACCTCATAGCTGTTTTGGTGCGTTTGACAGACACTGTGCACAAATGGTCAGCTCTAACTCGCCCACTCTGAGAGTCCCTGAGAAATATCATGGCTATGCATTGCTCCTACTCTCCCTCACGACGAATGGTGAAACAGCTTGCTTAAAGCAACTCACCAGGTCTGTTTGTTTTAATCTCAGTTTTTTATGACGTCTGTTAGGTCCTAATTTAGTCACATGGGTAAAAACTTCATTAAACGCTTCTTCGGAAACTGGATATCTTGTAGTGTTGCGGTGCCATGCTGAGAAAATTACTTTCCTGACCTCAGCGTCTGCTTTAAAGCGTATAATGGATGCTGTGAAGTGCATTTGTCACAAGACATTACAGACAAACCACCGTGGACACATTTCTGACCGATCTTAGCTTTAAGGTTCTTCAGTACAAGGCAAAGTAAAGAAGCGAAATAACTGTTCACATATCCGTCCCGTGAGATTAAAGTAAGCAAAACTGATTTTTCGAGTTTATTCATGAAATCGGTTTATTAAAGAGCATGCGTAGTGATGCATATATATATATATATATATGCATATTTGTGTGGACCAGTTAAAAATTTGTATATCTTGCAGAGAAACCTTGAAACGTTCGAAGCAAACACATTGCAGTTTCTGTTCTCCGTCTTATCCACTCACATGGGGGAGAAAATTATGAACCAATTTCCAGCCTCTGAACACATTCCTTGCGAATAATAAACATATAAAAACGTTATGCACATCATGCACTTTCAAACAAAGAAATGAAAATTACCACACTAAAACGCTTCACCAGGAAAGCACATGAGACAAGGATTTCTGTTTACCAAAAAATCAACCTAGTTGATGTATACTTTTACTGGAGGATAGAGGTGTATTCGTATTGCCCTCTCTCTTTTAGCGAACTGACTTCACTAATAAGAAAGTTACTCCCTTCCATACAGTTGATATCTCTTCATTTTTGAATGTTTATTCATGTATCTTCATTCTTGAATCTGAAGAATATCTGAGATGTCACGTGTCCATTGGAAGGAAGGCGCGTGACATGAAAAAAGCAATGGATGAGAGATTTTCATCGACGATATGACACATAATAGCTTGCTGAATGCATTTAACATTGGTTGGTATGTCCCACAAAAGTGAAACTCATTATCACTGGGCGCAAGTATGAAACTATGATGTCCGTAATGTACTTTATGGGGAAAAAAACCTCCAAAAGTAAAATTGAAATATTTGTTAGCTTTTCTTAGGTAGAAAATTGAAATACCCGGACTCCACAACAAGTCAACTGTTTATGGACGTCGCTACTTTGATCACCTTTGGTGTACTTTTTCATCGGCTGGCTTTCAAGGTATCATTGAGATCTTTTTTGCAGTAGCCAGGGAAATCTACAACGTAACCACTCGAAGAGCTAAGAGTTTAGTCTACAGAAGGTTGAAAGGTGCATCAGGATTATTTGCTGAGATTTGAAAAGGATAATCTTTGAACGTTTCACTGAAATACCTTAGGAGAACGTCAAGTGAATAATGATTTAAGTCTCCGAAACGTTCCATTTCCTGATGATCACGAAATGACAGAGTTGTGGGCTGTCCTGTTAGCTAGTATTATGTAATGCTTATAAACCTTGTTCCTAATGTTTATATGGACGCAGTCAAAAAATTTGTACTACTGTTTTTCGATAGATACGTCAGACGTGCAAAGAATTGCGATAATCCTGAAAATCTTGTGTTAAATGGCAGTGTATTTGAAGAACTGTTGGCGAGTCTGTGTCATTTTTGAAAATTCAAAAAAAGATTCGTACCAAACAAGTTCCATCTACACACCACAGTCCTCATTTTCCACTGCATGACAAACGAAATCGGTGCAACTATTGTGGTTGGATTTGCAATCTTTCTGGGGACAACCAAACGGGTGGGTCGTGGATTGACAAAGTTGCACAACGTATGGTGCACAGTTGAATCTGCTTGCACAACATATGGTGCACAGCTGAATCTGTCGCTCAAACTTACACGCCACACAGGAAAGTTTTGTTAACTTGTGCCCGCTCCGCACGTCACTATGGGAGAGTGTATTTGTCAGCTTGTCCATTTCTGGCATGGTCGTCAAGTGACTTCATTTGTCCTCAACGCAACGGGTAATTGTGTTGTAAACAAATCGAAGGAGAACTCTGAGAGTGTCAACGAGATTTCTCAAGAGATTGACATTCACTTAATATTGGTCAACAAGAGATTGATATGTAGACACTAATTGTATGTGGAATGAGGGTGTCAATCGGGCGTTAGTTCAGAAAACCATTTTACTAAGATGCCCATTATTCGTAGCGCAACTGTCTGCACAGCCCCCGCCTATCGTGTACCTCCCAACGTGGGAAGTGACTTGTTCAGTCCCGGCGAAGTGCTGTACCGTAGCGCCATCCTCAATGCGTCCATGTAACCCCATTACTTTGTCTTTTATTGGAAGCTGAAGGGTTACCCCAAAGTAGTATACTCACAACCACATTTTGTTCTGCGTCAGCAAAACCATCATCGATGTTCCTGCCTTCGGAGCAACTGCTTTTGATCGGTCTGTTGCCACTTACCACATAGGAACAACATATCGACCTAGCAGGTCAAGGTCGAACTCTTTGACCGGCCAACTCAGATGTCTTCACACAGGTGCATTACCAAACTGTATTTATCATCATCAGTCAACTGCTCAACTCAGTTGCACAACAAAAACCCAAGTGTACTTTCGTAATGGTCGTTAAGGACTGTGCGCGATTATTACAGGGTGTGATCTATATACCTATATATA